AGAGCTGCTAATGTCCTGGATCACCGCGGGCACTTTCAGAACAGCTGACGGGCAAAACCGTAATAAAGAGCAGAGAGAAATGGAGACAGTGATCAGAGACAAATCTTTTTTTTTTTAATCCTCACCCTAGGAGATATATATATATATAATTCAAGTTAGAGAGAGAGGAAGGGGGAGAGAGAGAGAGAGAGAAACATCGATGTGAGAGAGATATATCCCACATACATCGATTGGCTGAGTCTGGTAAGTGCCCTGAATGGGAATTGAACCTGCAACCTTTTGATGCAGAGGATGATGCTCCGACTGAGCCACACTGGCCAGGGTGAGATAGTTCTTTGAGGAACTCTGCGTGTGTGCATGTGCATAAAATTATTTTCGTTGCTACTTCATAACTGTAATGTTGCTACTGTTATGAATCATAATGTGTGTGTGTGTGTGTGTGTGTGTGTGTGTGTGTGTGTGTAGAGGAGAGAGAGGGGGAGGCTGTGGAGAGGACAGTGAGGCCAGAAGGCTTCTCTAAGATGGGGTAGCACCCAGCTTGCACACACTAGACATGGTCCGAGGGAGGTAAAAACTGATGCAGCAGGAGAGGGAGCTTACGCTGGAGCCATGCCCTAGAGTAGGTCGATGGATTCCCGGGGTGGGGGTCGCCCGGAGCTCAGTCGGTCCACGGCTAACAGGAGAGAAGGGACAGATGCGGGTGGGCGGGGAACTGTGGAAATTCTCTCCTGCTTGCTTCCACTTCCTCAGTGCAACCAGAAGCTACTCCACCGCTAAGAGCCAGGGGAGGAGGGGACAGAAGGAGAGGGAGAGGGGAGAGTGCAAGGCAGGGTGGGTGAGTGAGCAGGTGAGAAGGCGAAGGGTGCGGGGGGCAGGAGGGGGGCTGTGGAGAGGTGGCAGGTTCAAGGGTCGCAGTCCCAGGAGGGCCAAAGACGGTTGGAATTGGGGAATTACTGAGGGATGAGCTGAGAAGACAGAGCTGGGTGTTTGACACTGATGGTGGAGGGACAGGTACGGCCGCGGAGGGAGTGGCTGAGCCAGGGCGGAGGACACAC